TACACAGTTCCAGAAGACTGGTCATCAACTTGTGGCCAGATGACTCCCACAGTGAGCAGCAAAGTCAGGTGAACCCAGGAGACACCCACATAGCCCACTGTGTCTCCAGCCTACCTCCGAGGCCCTTCAGACGATAATGTGCCAGAAGGCTCGTGTGAAAGACGTTACACTCCATCTCACATCAGCCACTCTCTCTCAACATGCAGAACCTCCTAGAAGCCTTGGGAGGCAAAGGTCTGGCAGAGTTCCTAGCACTCACATATTTATGTAACTTAACATAGTGGAATTGGAACCAACCTGACGGCACTTAAAGAAGTCAAATGAATGGGAAATCCCTAGGACAAAAACAACAATAACAAAAATAGATCATTTATGAAATAAAATGTGTCTTTTGAACGGAAGTCGCTTCACCTGGAGACTGAAAGATATGCATAGCACCATGCAGTCCATTGCCACGTGTAAAGTGACTTTAAAAACATCTAGATTTGGACCATTTGAATTCGTCTTTTAAATGTGAAGTAAAACAAAAGTGCCAATATGGTGAAATCTATACCATATGCCATTTATGCTAAAAACTCAGGCATAGCCTGTTATGTGGTGCAATTTGACCTGCTAAAAAACCAAATCCACTGCTATGGAGTTGGTGTCCAAGACCTTTACAGGAGCAGAAAATCTCATCTTCCTCCTGTAGAGCAGCTGTTGGATTTGAACTGCCAACCTCATGGTTAGCAGTCCAGTGCTTGGTACACACCACACTTCAACACTAAGATTATTCCAACATCATAACAGAGCTAAAACTTATCTGTGAATAAAAGCTGTTTATGCGTTATCAAAAATAAAGCCCTGCTGTGTTTGAGACAAATATCCCAGGTCTCCAGCTAAAGCGTATGGGGTGCGAAAAGTAAATTAGTAACATGGTCCTTCCAGCCAAGGTCTTTATAACCCCTACCAAGTGACTGGGTGGGTGGGTGGGGGGTCACACAGATGAAGTGTTTGTGGCACACCAAGGGGGTTGGGTAGCTTGCTAATATGAATGTGCATGGCACGCTTGTGGGTGGTTCTTAGGCTCATAGTGACCCTATAGACTACAGGTCAACACTGTCACTCCTGCTCCATACTCAAATGCTTCAGCCCATTGCTGTAGTCACTGTGAATACACCTCCCTGGGGGTCTTCCTTTTTTGCTGACCCTCTGTGGTGCTGTGGGATAAGCACTAGATAGCTAACCACAGGTCGGCAGTTCAAACCCACCAACTAATTGGAAACTCTATACAGGAACCAATTCGATGACAATTAACGACTTTACCAAACATGTTGTCCTTCTCCAAGAACTAAGCCCTCCTGATAATATGTCCAAAGTTTATGGGACAGTCTCAGTATATCCTAACTTCTAATGAACATTCATTCTGACCGTACTTTTTCCAAGACAGATTGATTTGTTCTCCTGGAAGGCAGTCCAGGATACTGTCGATATTCCTAGCCAACACAATTCAAATGTATCAACTCCCCAGTCTTCCCTATTTATATATTGTCCAGCTTTCCCATGCATATGAGGTGACTGGATATACCATGGCTTGGGTCAGGTGCACCGAAGTCCTCAAATGGACATCTTTGCTCTGTAACACTTTAAAGAGGTCTTGTGTAGATTTACTCAATGCAATACGTCATCTGTGAATCTGAGTAAAATGAAAAGTCCTTTTAGTCCAGTTGTGAGGATTTGAGTTTTAATCCACATTCAAGGCTGCAGTCTTTGATCTTCTTCAGTTTCATCAAGGTGTATCATCTACTTATTACTGCTCACTGAGTCTTCCTCTAACCCATGTTCTTATGATGCCGTGTCTCAGATGACTTGCTCAGCAGAGAGAGTGGATATGCTTAAAGGATACAACCCGGCCACACACCTTCCCTAATTTTATACCGTTCAGTAGCTCCTCGCTCTGTTCAAATGACTGCCTAAGTGTCCTCAAATTCCCATTATCACAGTGTTAAACACAAGTAAACAGACTTTTGGTGTTCTCTGCTTTCAGCCAAAATCCATTTGACAGCAGAAATTATATCCCTCTTGAGTTTCTGACAGTTCCCTGTAGATGGACTGCTGCAACCATGTTTGAATTATCTTCAGCAAAATTCTCCTTGCACTTGATACTGGTATCAGTAATTCCCATTCTGTTGGGTCACATTTCCTTGGAATGGGCACAAATACAGATGTCAGTTGGGTGGCCAGGTAGCTGGTCTGTCTCTCAATGGCATCTCCAGTGCTGCATCCGTTCATTTAAAAGCATTTATTGGTGTATTATCAATATCTAGACCTTTATTCCAGCGGTTTAGACTTCCTTCAATACCATTGGTTCTTGACCACATACATGCTACTTCTTGAAATGGTTGGATTTTTGTACAGTACCTGGGTATTCTTTCCATCTTCAGATACTTCATTGCTCATTCCATTTTGCTTATGTGGTTAAGTGCTGTCGAGTGGGCTCTGACTCCTAACAACCCTGTATAAGGTTTCCGAGAAGGAGCTGGTGGGTTTGAACATGACCTTACAGTTAGCAATCTAGTACGTCTACAGTGCCACACTAGGACTACATTGCGATTCTTTAATATTGAAGCTTAAGACTTTTTCTTCACTTCATCTTGAGAAATGCCATGCATTTTCTTCCCTTTTGTTTTGCAACTTAGATCTTTTGACTGTTTCACCGTATTTAATTTTTAAGCTGTCCTTTGAAATCTGTTCAGCCCTTTAGCTTCATCATTTCTCTTTTGCTTTTGACACTATGTTTAAGGGTTAGAGTCTCCTCTAACCCTTGGTCTTTTACGAATCAGGCTGCTAACTTCAAGGTTGGCAGTTCAAAACTACCAGTTGTTCCGCGGAAGAAAAGTTGAGGCTTTCTGCTCCCATTAAGATTTGCAGCCTTGGAAACCCTATGCAGGGTCACCATGAGTCGGAACTGACTCCACAGTACTAACAACTGACCTTTTACAGTCTTTATGTATGTTGTTTTTCCCCCCTCAATGATATCAGCTTGACTTCATTGAAGGGAAGCTAGCGGGGAGCAGGGTGAGAGAAAATCTCCCCAGGAACTCCCATTACTGACCAACACTGCCAGCTCCAGGTCTCTGTGCCCTCGAGTCACAGGCCAGACCCTGGAAACTGCTTTTTTTCTTCAAGGTGTCTATGCTGTACTCAGCCAATGTAAACCTTTTTGCTGGGCAGGTCAATAACTTCTCCCAGCTTGTTGAGGACCCAGGTGACCACATTAGAGCAGGCCTCACAGGTCATGTCCACATAGAATTCGCACTTCTCTTGGCTCTCTGTATGATGTTCTTGATGCCATCCCACAACTTGCCTGGTGTTCAGTACATCAAATCTGTTCTTATGACAATCTCTAAAATCACGTGGGATACACTCAAGGTTATATTTTGGCTCTCGTAGAACTCATTTTTTTTTCAGCTTCAACTTGAACTTACATTTGAGCAATTGGTTGTCTGTTCCAGTCAGCCTCTGGTCTGGTTTTAGCTGGTGATACTGAGCTTCTCCCTAATCTCTTTCCACAGATGTAGTTAATTCCTATCTACCATGTGATGAGGTCCACATCGTTTGTTGTTGGTCTTGCAAAATTCTGTTGTGAGCTACAGTGTAAATTCTGTAACTAGAGCCACTGTGGGGGTGGGGCCATGCAAAAGAGGTACATGGAAGCCAACAAGGGCATTAGTCACTTTTGCCATCCTGCTAGACTTCAAGGGAACCTCATGGATACAGAAGTGGAACACGGGTTTTGGACCAGGGCTCTCTGTGCTAAGAATCTCAATCAAGGAGACAGAAGCGACATCAGACATGGTGAGAAGCAGGCACCAGCAAAACCAGACCAGCAGATGGGCTTCCCAGGCCAAAGAGTTAGAGCTGAGCACCTTCAGGCTGAGGATGACTAGCAGAGAGGGTGCCTTTCTCTGGGCACTTATTGGCAGAGCTAAAAGACCTTTACAACACTCACCGGAATCGGCAGAGGCCCCGTAGGGAGCCAAGAGCTAGACAAAGGCCTGCCTGTAGCTGCTAAGAGGCTGTCCTGAGCAGTCCTGAACTTGAATTGAACCCGTTACCTACCTCATTAACAGGAGTCCTGGTGTGTTGCTGTAGGACAGGCACTGGACTGCTAACCAAAAAGTAGATGGTTCAAACCCATCACCAAGCCGGAAGACCTATACAGAGCTGCTATGAGTCAAACCGACTTGACAGCACTTAACTCCCTTATTAAACCCCGTAACTATGATGTGAGTTGTGTGTGACCCCAGCAGAGATACAGTGTGATGTGGAAAGTGTGATGTGGAAAGCTGATACCACAACTGGTCAAAAGGGCGGAGTATGGCGGCATGTCTGACTTTGAATCACAAGATCGGCCTTGGGCTGCTGATGCTGACTCTCCCCACTACAACAGACATTCTGTCGGAACTGTTTGTCTGTACAAGTGTGCTTCTACCCTGGTTAGTTTCTTGGAGATTCTTCTTCATAACAACAATCCATTCCAGGCTGCTTTCTTTAAACAGTGCCAGGAATGAAGATTCTAAGCTATTCCACCTACACCCATGAAAACCATAATAAGTGAGGGTAAGTCACTCTTTCGGTGATTTTAAGACAACCCAAACCGAGGACAATACTGGCTAGGCTCAAGAAGACCTGAATTAAGACCTGAAGGTCCCCCTCACGAAGTAAGTTGACCACATATGAGGAGCTGACCGAAAAGTCAACTTTACTGCATGTGCTCCTTACTTGTCAAATGTAAAGGAAAACTAATGTTTATAGAAGTTTTCATCCCCAAAAATACAAACACAGGAGAGAGAAGGGAAGGGCTGCCTAGCACACGCAGCCCAGAGAGGACATATTTATAGCACGCCCACACATGTGTAATAAAGCAGGTTGGCCGCCGGCCCTTTAATGAAGTAGTGGCCTGCAGCTGCAGGCACAGGTCAGAGGAACGATCAGACTGACCCAACAGTGCTGGACACTCAGTCCCTCCGCAAGGGCATCGTCTCCTCTCGGATACCCTCCCGGGTGACGATGCAGATCCGCAGCGCGTCCCCAGTGTAAACATCTCGCTCAGCAGCAGAGATGAAGACATCTCGCACCAGGCGCAGGGCCCTGTCCAGAGACAGCGGGACATGCTCCACATTCTGCATGTTCTTAAATCCAACCTAGAGAAAAAAAACAAGGACACTTGAATAGGGTGAGGAGCTCAAGACCCCGCAACACCTGGACTGCCCACAACACCCTGACTTGCAAGCGGAGGTGGCAGGGACTGATAACATGGCCACCCCCACTGCCCCTCATCTCCCAGGACACTTGGGGCGCACACAGGTGTTACCTGATTGTCGAGCAGCGGCTGCAGCATGGCACTGGCTGAGCCCCCAGCCTTGAAGGAGTCTCTCTGGTAGGACCCCACCGGATCAAAGCTGTACACAGCCCCCTTCCCTGGACAGAGAACAGGCTTCATGAGGGAGATGCACTGAAACCACTCCCATCTCAGCCGCAAAGATCCAGTCAGAGGTACAAGGAGTGACGCTGGCTGAGGTAGTCTCAGTTGGCAGAAAAAGCATACTTGTTGCCACACATGTGGCCAGGGCTGGGCTCTGCAGGTCATCTCACCCACCACATGGCCATCAGAGTACACAGCTGTGCCTACCAGGGCCGCAGTCACCCAACCACCCCACAGTACGTGTCTGCTACCTGGGCCTCTAAGCAAGTGAACTACTGACTGCCCTCCTGTGTTCCCGGCCAGCAGCCGGCTACACTGATACACAGGGAACTGCCCAGGACGGTAGGAATGCTGCACTGTTCAACACCATGGCCAGGCCAGTGCGGGCGTAATGATGAGCACATCAGGACCACAACGAACACTTAATACCAGAACGTCAGGAAACCAAATGCCACACAAAGGGTCAGTTCTGCTAGGCGACTTGCTTTGTATTCTCGAGCTACTAACAATCACTACTTTATTCTAATCATAAAAACCTAGATTTGGCTCTTTCCTGACCAGCAGTTGCAGAGGACAGAATTTGGGACGTGCAGGCCCTTCTAAGCCGTTCTGAAGCACAGTCTGGCAGCAGAACCTGTCAGAATGGAAAGCACGAACTCTAAGACCCCCCCATCATTACTTCTCTTGAAGATGGAATGAGCCAACAAAAAGCTTGTAACAGATACATATATGTGTGTATGCCCAGCCATGTATGCAACACGTAAAAGAACCAATGTTACCAGCACTGAGCCCACTGCTAAGACAACGTGTCCTCACTGGGACAGGGACCACCCTCTCCTGTCCTCAGAGATGGGACACAGGAACCACCCTGTATGACCCGAGGACCACTATCTCCACTGCAGAAACACCTGGGCAGAAGCCCCTGGTGAGAAGACAGTATCTGAGGTCACGTGGGAGAACCTGGGATGTGTTGTGCTGCAGAGGACCCCTAATCACATCACAAAAGCAGAGGGATGTGAAAGGCCCACAAGCAGTGAGGTCAGGCTCTGCCCAAGGGTGCAGCCATCCCTGACAACCACACCAAGTAGAGAGAAACCAAGGGATTGTCCACAAGTAGAGCAAAACTCCTAAAAGGCACGAGCCATCAATGGAAGAATGGATACAAAAACTGTGGTACATACACACAATGGAATATTATGCTACCTTGAAGAATAACAAGGAAGCTGTAAGCCACCACATAACATGGATGAACCTTGAGGACATTGTGTTGAGTGAAATCAGTCAGTCACAAAAGGAGAAATACTGCATAGGACCACTACTGTAAAAAATTAAGAAGAAGAACCTACACTAAAATGGGAAAAGAAAAAAAAAAAAAAAATCTTTGCTGGTTACCGGGATGTGGGTTGTGGGGTGAGGGGAGGGAGGAGAAGAGGGCAGGGAAAAGACACAGGATAGTTTGGGTGCTGGGGACGGGGGCGATACACAAGAAGGGGGAGGGGAATGGGAGAATAGTTAGGCAGGCTTGCATGGGCTAGGTGGGGCAGAGGTAAATAATGATGCATGCACAACAACCTTAGAACAACAGGGCTCTGGAATACAGGGACTGAGGCATAGTTTGAATGGGTAAAAGAGGGTAAATAATGTTAAGGTGCTTGGCTGTCTTTTGAATCTTGGTTTCCCTTGCCTACCACTGTAAAATACACAATTGAGAGGGAAGAGAAAGGAACAGCCAGAAACGTTACCATAGAAAGCTTGTAAGTCCATCTTCAGCCTATAACTGATTAGAATACTTTAAATGAGGCTACAACTTGGCCAGTGAAGGAGGATTCCTGCAGAGCCTTTACATTGCATAATACCATAGATGGAATACTGAACCCCACCCAGAATCTTCTGAGGTGGGAAATCTTCCCTTGAAAGGACAAGCAAACCAGCTTAGAGCAGCTAGAAGAACAGAAGCTACTTCTTGAAAGAAAGACCGGCAGAAAACAATCAAAAACAGTAACGGCAGTCCGATTGACTACTACAAGAACAAGCAAGTCATTCGCCCAAGAGCCTTCAAGGCAAGTGGTCGGGTCCCCTCAAAGCAAATCCCCTTCTAAGACTAAGACTCAAGGGGAATACACAAGCAGGCATGAAGTCTAGCTGGTGACCATGTTGGTCACCGACAAGGGAAATGGGGGAAAAACAGCAATGAAGTTGTGAGCTAAGTCCAACCACATTCAATAGACTCCTGTGAACCTGGGTTGGAACCTGGTTGGCCTGTAGTATGGCAAGATCTGGGGACTCCTGGGCCCAGAGACAGTGACATGGCCACAGAGGATTAGAGTAGAGAATGAAGCATCCAGCTGACATGTGAAGTGAGGGGAGATGCACAAAAACACCCGTATTTGCAGATAGTATCCACTTGACCTAGCTTCAATGGCTGGATGTTCAGAACTCAACTAGAAGAACAAAGAAGAGGAAAAAAAGAGTAATCCACTACAATTTGATTAACTTGGCCGATACTTATGGATGTAGTAGCTCAAAAGAAGGAACGAATCTTTACAACGAGAATCATTCCCACCTCCTCGGTACACAGGGTTGAAAGGGATGGGCAACTTAGACAATGGCTACCCAAAATGGGGGGTGGGGTGGGGGGTGGGCAGGCTACAAAGGCAAGAAGTGACTGGCTTACGAGCTTTTAAGAGGGAGCCTAGATTCAGAGGGCGCCAAGTAAGGTAGACTCTCCATGGAGTAGTATCCAATCTGTCTGGGTGGGACTGATGAAAAGAGATGAGGGTAGGTCTCTTGACTGACTGTGAGGGTCGGAAATGTAAAGGTAGATGAGTTTTGTAACAAAAGGAGGGGAGTGCTTGATTTTGCAGCCCAGGAGAGGAGGACCCTAGGACCATCAAGGGAGAAGTGACACCAGAGAGAGAGGCAGAGATGATGACATGGCGAGGTGGAGCAGCTGGGGACTCTGGACTCAAGGAGGAAGAGGGGCTGTGTGCTGATGAACAAGGCGCAGGCTTGCGGGGTATACCCTTTGGTTGTTTGATGATGCATGGAGGTAATTGTAATCATTGCAATGAAAGGAAATATGATGGGATGAATGTAAAGCTAATAATCTCCCATGTAAACTATGACATAATTCACAATAAAGAATTTTTTAAAAACCAATAAAGCAATAAAAGGCATGAATGTGCCATGGCAGGCAGGGCCTTGCCTGCAGCCCCAGGGCTTTTCTCAACACCACAAACCCTAAAGGCACAAAGACTTACCCACGAAGAGGGAACAAAGGGACAGCACCACTCAAGGCTGTCTGCATGAGGCAGACCCTCCTCTGTTCTGAGAAACCCAGAAAGTGAGAGGCAAGAATGATCAGGGAGAGGAGAGGTTACCCTACTTCACAGAGGTTGTTGGGATTCAATGATGGCCTAGACACCAACAGGAAAAAGATCAACCAGCAAATGAGGAAGCAAACAAAAGCTCACAATGGGTCAGTCTAACAGAGACAAGCAAAGAGCCAGTAAATACAAGATGCCCAACAGCAATAAACTGTATCTATATAAATATAAATTAAAACAATAAAGTGGCTCTGGACAAACGTTCAAAGCACATTCCCCAGCTCCAGGGAAGGACACATGCCCCAGCTGGCAGACATGTCCTCAAAGCGCAAAGCTTTACCTGCTGACCCAGCAAGCAACTCGGCAGCTCGGGATTCAGCCACAGGCTCACCAGACACAGGTGGAGAAGAGCAAGAACGCACGTGCCAGGGTGGGCATGGATGCCATCCTCAGAGTGCAGTCAGGTGCAGCCACATGCTATGCAACCCCCAGTGACTAAGAGTGATGGTACATAGGAAAAAGAGAAGGAAAGAAATCCAGGAAGGAAAACTTGGGACCCAGGACATAGCGAGCCCATCCCAGGAGCCAAACAAAGGGTGTCCTTACAGTGGCAGCCACCTTGAGTGCAGAGTTGTTGGGAAACATCAGAGCACCCACAGGTGGTAAAGGGTGCCAAGAGCTAACGAACTGATGAAAGATTACAGAAATTTGGCTAGAGAGAAATGTAACCACAGGAACAATGAGGCAGTGGTCAAGAACCATGTCACCTATCGTCTACCATGTCCCAGGAGACCCTAATGAAGAGGGAACAGGCAAGGCAAGGGCATCAGGGACAAGAGCCAACACTCAGAGGCAGATTCTCAAAGGGGCAGACCCCTCTGACGTCTCCACCATATGGAGGTAAGGGTGGGCTTTTGGGAGCACCAAGCATCACTCAATCAGAGCAGGTGACAGTCACGGGTTACCAATTAGGTGACAAGGGTTTCAGGCACAAAACAAAAGATGAAAACACAAATTAGCATGATGAATTGTCCAAGGCTCTCATGGTCTGACAGACAGAAAATCCAAGAGGTGGTTCAAAGAATTCAGAAAATTCCAGCAAACATACCCTCTCCACCGTGACTGATCCAGGACACATGTCCTAACCATACCTAGTGACCTAAGACACAGCCGCTCACCACCTGGAGACCAGAGCACCTGGGACACTTGTTGGCCCTACTTGGAATCCTGTGTTTGCTAATATGCTGTCATGACTTCGTCATACAAGGTACCCATGACCTAATGGTGTCACTGGACCCTCACGTGCGTCCCTCTTAACTCGTCACTTCTGTTCCAGAATGAACCACCTACCTTCCTCGTCAAGCCCCCCGATAATGTTGTAGACGTAGTAGGGGAAGAAGCGCCGTGAGTACAGGATGGTGGACAGCATGGCGGCGATGGCCCCAGTCGTCATGGCCTTGTTGTTGGAGTGCTTATACATCTGCGGGGGTAGGGAGGCACACAGCACCGCAGTGCTTCAGGATCCCAGTCTACATGCTGACACAACTTCAGGCACAAGCCGCTCGAGAGCAGGTGCACAAACGGCTCGCTCCCTCCACCCCTTACCTAGACCCCACGGGCCCTTCAAGCCCAGCATCTGCTTTTGTGCGGCAGGTGTCAGGGGAACACCAGGGACTCCACTCGCTGATCCCAGGTTGTCCACTGGTGCTCTCTCAGTTGGCCACAGCAGGGCTGAGTATGACCACAGAACCAAGGTGTAAATCCCTTTTTGCAGTTAGCAAGCGGCCTACAAACAGACATGGGGCCACACCCTTCCTCTGCAGGGAAGAACCAAGTGCCAGAGCAGGTCTTAGCACGTTACACCGTCCGAATTTTTATAGAAACTCTACAGAAATTCAAATGTATGATGAATTCAAGTGCACCAACTTCTGATATTCAGTAGTACAGCAAAGCACTGAAAGGGTCAGTGGTCAGTCACACTACAGGCAAGGGTAAACCACCTGCAGCAGCTCATTTAAAAAGCAAGATACAAAAAAAGATTCCCTTCATTCACTTGGTCAAGTTTGTAACACGTTATATAAGATGACTGTTCAGAAGGGCTTGCAGGAGTCACCGTGTATATACAGAAAGCCAATAATGTAAGTCTCGGGGCTTGTGGTATCAGTAAAGGTTACTGAATAGTTTCAACAAGTTCATTATGTAGTCCCGTGTCATGATACCATTTAAATGTGTAAAGAACTTCAAGTGTTCTTCACAAAGAACCCTGGTGTTGGCGTAGCTACAGTGGCTGGCTAGCCAACCGAAAGATCAGCTGGTGGTTCCAATCAGGAGGAAGGTACAGCAGTCGGCTTCCACAGAGTCAGTCTTGGAAACTCTACGAGCAGTTCTACTCCGTCCTTTACAGCCAACAGGACTCAGAATCCACCCAACGACAAGTGGTTTGGTTTAGGTCTTGGTTACTCACTAACATGCGCAGAACAGAAGGCCACCAACCCTTGCTAATCCTTTTATGTACCAAAACAACTAACAAGAATGTAAAAATTACAGCATGTAGCCTAAAAATTAACTAAGAAAAGGCATGTGATTACTGATGCTGCAAATCTATGATTTGTTTAAGGCACCTACTGCACTGCTGGAAGCTGAAAAGAGCATACATGTAGTGGTCACCACTGCACACACAGCCCCCTTGTACACCCTCCAGCTCTTGTACACTCCTCTCCCAGGCCCCAATCAAATCCAGAAGTGCCTCTGCTTGCCTGGCTCAGGGTCCCCACCCACCCTCTTTCATCCATCTCTACTGCCTGTGCAGGCACGAGGAGGCAGTGGTGAGCTGGGAGCTCATCCTCTCCAAGCTCTGATCTAGAAGTGTGTCTGAACTAACCTCCGCCACAAAGATGGCTTCTTGGGCCAACTTTGGAGGGAAGAGCATCTTCAGAAGATCCCCCTCTGGGCACCTCCTAGAGGGCAGAGAACCCCATTCAGCTCTGTGTAATATCTAACAAGGGACCCTGTGTGGCCTGTACCACTGCCATGATGATGACATAACAGCTCTTTTGGGTCTTGGACAAACGACCACACAGCATATGCTGTCGCTCTAGGTGTTCTCAGCCGATTGCGCCACTTCAAGAAGCACACAAATAGCTACTGATTTGTCGATCCCACAAACCACCTACCTTTAGTCTTGCTTCAATGATCTTAGTGAGTGTGAGACAATCGCCATGGAAACCGCTGCATCCGATGACTGTTTTGTCTGTTCTGCAAAAGCACAACATAGGACAGAGATGGCTGACAGCAAAGAGACATATGTTATACGACTATTACTGGTACATGGTAATGGGACAACTAGCTATCTCTTGTCCCACAAGGAGCACCTACAGGAGTATTCCTACACCTCATTTCTAACACCAGATAAGTTCTAGTGTACCAACAACTAAATGAAACAATCACTAGGACTACAGAAAACATGGTCCAGGACACAGCCAAAAAGCACACAGGAAAGTTCTGTAAATTTGACTACACAGAACTGGAGTTTCTCAAGAAAAACATGAACAAAAACCAAACCACAAGCAGCACTCGGGAGATCTGTGGATTCATGAGCTGAACTGAAAGGTCGGTGATTCAAACTCACCAGCCGCTCATTGGAAACCCTAACCAGGGTCAATGAGTCAGAATCGACTCAAGGGCACTTAACAATAACAAGCAGAACATGTGACCAAAGTCTTAATTTTCCTTTCCTTACTCTACAAACGGTCCTACAAATATACTTATTCAATCTGAATGCTGAGCAACAAATCCGAGAAGCTGGATTATATGAAGAACGTGGCATCAAGATTGGAGGACTCAATAACAACCTGGGATATGCAGATGACATAGCCTTGCTTGCTGAAAACAAAAAGGACTTTAAATACTTACTTATGAAGCTCAAAGACCACAGCCTGCAGTAGGGGTTGCATCTCAGTGTAAAGAGAGCAAAAATCCTTACCACGTGACCAATAAATAAGAACATGATAAATGGAGGAAAGACCCAAGTTGTCAAACACTTCATTTTGCTCTGACAACCATCAAACACTCATGGAAGCAGCAGTCAAGAAATCAAGTGATGTATTGCATTGGGCAAATCTGCTGCACAATACCTCTTTAAAGTGTTGAAGGGCAACGATGTCAGTTTGAGGACTAAGACACACGTGAACCCAAACCATGGTATTTTCAATAGCCTCATATGCATGTGAAAGTTGTACAATGAATAAAGAAGACTGTGGAAGAATTACATTAGACTGCCAGAAGAACAAACAGTTCTGTGTTGGAAGAAGTACAGCCAGAATCTCTCATACTTCAGATGGACCAGTCTCTGGAGAAGGACATCATGCTTGGTAAAGTGGAAGATCAGGGAAAAAGAGGAAGACCCCCAGCGAGATAGAATGGCACAGTGGCAGCAGCAATGGGTTTAAGCGTAGTAACGATTGTGAGGCTGGCACAGAACCAAGCAGTGTTTCGTTCTATCGTACGTAACGGTGCCGTGAGTTAATACCAACTCAACGGGACCTAACAACAAAAAGCCAGATATTGGTGAAACTGGAAAATGGATGGTCTCAGACACTTGGAAAGTGTAAAAGCTGGTTCAAGTTTTTACAAGGGTACTGGGCTCTACCGAGTAAAGACTCAAAAGCACAGCCCCATGAGCTAGAAGCTCACCCCATCAAGACTTACAAAACCATGCCACGACACATGTACTTGCATAGCCAAACAAAACAAAAGAAAAAAAATATCCTTAACCTGGAAACCTATTATAGTTTGGTACATCCCAACAAATTTAACCACATGTCCTAAGAATCAATACCAAAAGTCTTGAAACTCATTTAGGATGAACCCTAATCCAGCATGTTGGCAAACACTGAGCCAAGGCCACATGGTGAAGCTTTCCTTCCACAAATCGGCTTAAGAAACCACTGGTACCCTGGGGGTACACCAGCATTTCCCAATCTAGTCCTCGGCCAACCTCACTGCAGTGAGATGCACCCTCTCCCCACAAGACGGGCTGGCAACTCCCAACAGAGTTTTATAGCTTTGCTAGAAGCTGCTCCCAAATACCTAGACACACTGAAGGAATGGGTGTCTTCATGCAAAGAGAGTCAATGTGGAGTCTGAAGTATGGCCAAGTGAGGGGCACCTGGCTCCAAGTCAGTCTTGACTTCTTCATAGAACCCAGCTTCTCGGATGATTTGCTCAACATACAGGTTGAATAAATACAGTGAAAGAACACAACCCTGTCACACACCTTTCCTAATTTTAAGCCATTCAGTGTTCCCATGCTCTGTTCAAACAACTGCCTCTTGGTCCAAGTACAGATTCCTCATGAGCACAATTAAGTGTTCCGGAATACTCATACTTCACAATGTTGTCCATAGCTTGTCATGATCCACACAATCGAAAGCCTCTGCGTAGTCAATAAAGCTCACGTAAACATCTTTCTGATATTCTGTTTCTAGCCAAGATCCATCGGACATCAGCAATGAAATCCCTCCTTCCACAGCCTCTTCTGAATCTGGCTTGAACCTCTGGAAGTTCTCTGTTAATGTATGCTTGCAGCCGTTTCTGTATTACCTTTAGTAAAACTTTGCTTGCATGGAATATCAGATATTGTCCAATGATTTCCACATTCCATTGGGTCACCTCTCTTTGGAACGGGCACAAATACGGATCTCTTCCAATCAGTTGGCCAGATAGTTGTCTTCCAAATTTCTTAGCAGAGATGAGTGAGTGTCTGTGTGCAAAAGTTGGATAGTGAATAAGGAAGACCGTAGAAGAATTGATGCATTTGAGTTGCGGTGTTGAAGGAGAATACTGGAAGTACCATGGACTGCCAGAAGAACAAATAGATCTGTGTTCGAAGAAATACAGCCAGAGTGCTCCTTGGAAGCCAGGATGGCCAGACTTCGTCTTTCATACTTTGTACATATTGACAGGAGGGACCAGTCTCTGGAGAAGGATATCCTGTTTTGTCGGAGAAAATGAAGACCCCCAATGAGATGCAATGGCACAGTGGCACAATCAAATGACTGGGCGGTGTTTTGTTCTGTTGTGCATAGGGTCACTATGAGTCAATACCGACTTGATGGTACCTAACAACAGCAACAACCACATTGATTTATACTGCAACCATTCTTTGTCTTTAGCATAATTTTCACTTGCATATGATAATAATACTGATTTAGTAATTTCCACTTTTTGTTGTATGACCTTTCTTCAGAATGGGCACGAATATGAATCTCTTCCAGTTGGCCAGGTTGCAATCTTTCAAGTTTCTTGACCTAGCACTGCACCCATTTGTTGGAAATCTCAATTGGTAATCCATTAATTCCTGAAGCCTAGTTTTGGCTATTGCCTTTAGAACAAGCTTAGACTTCTTCAGTACTGATTCTTGATCATATGCTACCTCCTAAAATGGATGTTGACCAATTCTCTTTGATACAATGACTCGTATTCCCTCCATTTTTTGATGCCTCCTGTGTTGTTCAATTTCTTGTTTAAAGAATTCTTCAATATAACAACTTGAGGCTTACAGTTTTCTTCAGTTCTTTCACCTTGAGAAATATCCTGTTTCTCCCCCAAATCATGGTAATTTCAATCACCTCATATGCAGGCAAAAATTAACAAAGAAAAAGTCTAAAGAATTGATGTATTTGAACTACAGTGAACTGCCAGAAAATGAACAAATTGATGTGGAAGCATGGCCAGAATGTTCCTCAAAAACAAGATTTCATCTTATATACTTTGGGCATGTAATCATGAGGGTCCAGTAGGTCAGTGAAAAAAGGGAAGACACACAATAAGATAAATTGGCATAGTGGCTACAGAAATGGATTCAATCATGACATGGATCTGAAATGGTGGAGGACCAGACGGTTTTACCTTGTGTTATACACAAAGCTAATATGAATCAGAACCAACTTGACGGTACCTAACAAGTTCCACTGGCATGCCTCTGTCTGAAGGCACTCAGCTCTGTTCTTCCCTCTTCTTCTTGTCTCTGACCAGATATCTCTGTAGAGCTGACTCCTGATTTAGGCTAGTGTCTCAATCCTATTGGGTAGATTTATAATCCACTATTTGCACAGTAACTGGCCAGTCTCCTTACTGTACCTCAAGCAGTTCTAACTACTTGCACAGGAACTAACATTTTCTGTTGGCAGGGTCTGGTTTCTTCCCAGGGCAAAAGTAACTAACTTTTCTAAAGAACTTGGTCAAATGTAAAAATCCCTTAGGGCTTATAAGGAAAATCTCCCAAGCTACACCTCTCCATCCAAAACCAATGCAAACGTTCCTATAAAGGAACTCAGTTCACCACATGGGATTAAAAATAAAATTGTAAAGATATGTTAACACAGCACTGTTGATATCTGGATGTGGCAGATATCAGAAGTCTGCAAATGAATTATTTGAAAACATAAATTTAGAAGACAGTTTTCTATAGAAAATGCAAGATACACTCCTAAAAGCAAACTAAAAACTCATGAAGCTATTTGTTTATAAGCAGAGTCCCTGCAGAAAAGTTGGAAAATGTGTGCCGAGACATTTACTTACAGTTTGTAACATTTGGGGCTGTCCCGAGTGTGGATAGAGAACCCTTCACTCAATCGAGTATCAGAAGCAACAATTGAAAAGTCTTCTCCAGCAATTGCCAGTACGGTGCTAACAGAAAGAGGCAAAAAGAAAAAAAGACTGAATTCTTCAGTATGATACATATGTGTCCCCAACCGGGTGGTGGGGGGACAAGACCCTGGCTATAAACCATTTGGAAAACAGCTGTAAGTGCTACCTAAAAACATCACACCCACACCAAAGCACAGGCCCCCAAGGGTATCACCGGATCTCCACCATCACCAAACAAGTCTACACAAAACAGCTGGTGGTCAGGTCAGTTGGTGGTGGAGTAGTTACAGAGATGCTAGGAGCCTGAACTCCAGAAGGTACTGCATGGGTTCTAACTAGGCGTCCCCTAACTTTACAGACAGGATGGATAAGTTATGTATCCTCACAATGTCCCTGTTCCCTCACTTGTCCAATAGCTACCTCATGAGGGTGTCTCCAGTACTTAGTAAACAAATGGGATCAGACTATTACGTTTCAGCTGTTATCACCATGACAACAGATGGGAATACATCTCCACTTCTACCTACAGAGGACCCTCAACTCTAGCTTATCAATAAATACTTGGGCTCAAGTATTACCCAAGACGGAACCTGTGCCTGCCATTTACTAGCTGTCTAACTGTGACAAGTTCAGACACCGATGGTGCCTGTTACAGGGGCCTGAAACATGATTCACACGCAGCACCTAGCAGTGTCACACACAATAAAATAGGTGACAAACCTTTGCCATTATTATTACTAAGGTGAGATTTGAGCTAAAGCTTGCAAAGAGAAAAGAATGGTATTCCAGGTAATATACACGGTAATCAAAGGGATCCAAACCCACACCAGGGACCCTAGATGAGGTTTCCAAGATGAAATCTTTGTGGGAGCAGACTACCTCATCTTTCTCCTAAGGAGCAGCTGGTGGGTTTGAACTGCTGACTTTGCAGTTAGCAGTCCAGTGCTTATCATATGGTGCCACAGGAGGTACTGACTCAGTACATTCAAACAGCTCGTTCAGTGTTTTTTGCAAGTGAGTAGAACAACATCAGATTTATGTGACATCAGAGAACCCACAATGTTGATAGAGATGTTGGAATTACAGCAAGGAACAATGAAAAGTACCTGAGCAAGGAGAAAAGCCTTACAACTATTTGTTGTTATTAAGTGCTGTTGAGTCAATCCCGACCCATAGCGACCCTGTATAGGGTTTCCAAGGAGCAGCTGGTGAGCTTGAACTGCCAACCTCGCAGTTTAAATGGCTTTGCTGTCTGGCGCATTAATCCACAGCGCCACACACTCAACTAATTTACAAAGCAATAAAGAAGGAAGCTTTATTCTGTAGAAGCAAAAGGTGAAGTTTCCAAAGCCTGTGGCAATAGAAGAGAACAAAGTCTGAGAAAGATCATTCAGTGATCAGAAAGTGGTAAGAAATTAATTTTTTGAGCTTTCGGCTTAAGTGGGATTGCTGTAAATTGCCATTAAGTTGGTTATGACTCATAGCAACCCTGTACAGGGTTTCTGAGGAGCAGCTGGTGGGTTTGAACCACTGACCTTGTGGCTAGCAGTCCAGTGCTTATTCTACAGCACCACACCAGATGTCCTAAAAGTCGAAAGCACCAATCTTCCCAGGCAGCCTCCCACCCAAGTCCTAACCAGCCCTGACCCTGCTTAGCTTCCAAGATCAGACAAGATGGGCTGCATTCACCATGGTATGACAGTTAAAAAAGGGAGTGAGTCCTGAAGACCGAACATCCAGAAAATTCTCACCACACAGAACATACAACTGTCGTATGAAATATAAGTCTAACAACCTGCTTTACAATTACGCTGGAGCACTGGTGTGGCACTGAAAGGTTGCCGGTTCAAGCCCAGCAGTTGCTGCTCAGAAACCTTAGCCAGGCTCCTCATGCATGGCCCTTAACAACAAATTAGTCACCACAGAGACGTGGTGAGAGGTGTAAACACACAAACTCACTGGTGACAGCCGAGTTCCTGCCCTGGCGCAACCTCACTCCAGCTAAGGGCCTTCGGTTAGTCCCACTGACCACCCACTCTGAGGGTAACTGCTTCTTCTCTGAGCCCAATAAGGCAACACGGTGGCATTAAAGGAAGCACCGTTTGGGGGCAGCAAGCAGCAGGCCAACTCTTCCACTCACTTCCCAGCCCGCTCCAGAATCCCAAGTCAATACTTGAAATTCATATGGAGGTCATTTGGGGGTTTGGTTTCGCTTTTCTTAAAGCACCATTTGCTCAAATGGGTGTGTACGTATTAAACTACAAATGCCCAGATTTTGGCTGGGAAACTACCACCACTGCTTCAGTTTAGAGCTCCACCGCCCCAACCCTTTCAAGTGCATTTTACGAATAAAGTGTTACCTAAAACAAGGATGGCTTAAAAAAAAAAAAAAAACCACAAACTTTGACTGCATCCCTAACAGGGTAATGCAGTCCTAGGGTGGCGCTGAGGGTAAGGCGCTAGACTGCAAAGTTGTCTGAACCGGTTCAAGCCCACCAGCCGCTCCTTGGAGACCCTACACATGGTCGCTCTGGGTCGGACCCGACTCGACGGCACTTCACAACAACAGAGTAACTGAGCCCCCACCCCAACCCCAGGTTAAGCTAAATGTTAAAAAAGAGAAAAGAGCACACACACGACCGCAGCTTCGTCCCCGGGGGTCTCTCCGGCGCGGCGCCGGCAGAGCGCGTTCGGTCCCCGGGGTCGTAAGCCGCGTTAAGGCCTTCCGTGACTGTCCGGCAAGGCGCGAGCCTGGCTGGTAGACTGAGCTGATCGGTAAAGCGAGGCCCACCCCGCGGCCACCCGAGCAGTAGGAAGGGGCTGAGAGGCCCGGCCACCCGCGACCCCAGAGGCACGGCAAGGGAAGAGTGGGCAGGCTTTACCCTCCGTTGAAGGCGTAGGGCGAAAACCGTTGTTGCAAGGGCCCCGCGGCGCAAAAAGGCTCCAGGCCCAGGTCGCGGCCAGGCGCCAGGAACGTTGCTACCGAGGACGACATCGTGCGTTTCCCGCAGTGCTGTCTCACAGCGAGATGGCGGCTCCGGGCGGAAGCCCGCCGCCCTTTATGCGCTCCGAGCGGAAACGGACTCGCTTCCTGTCCCCGGTTGCGCCGTGGGCCGCTCTATCCCGAGCTCTCGTTCGTCACGGAAATCCCGGCCCTCAAGGCTTATTGTGGTTGTTGTTAAGTGCCCTCCAGTTTACTCAATCTTTGTTGTTGTTGTTGTTATGTGCCGTGGAGTCGGTTCCGACTCATAGCGACCCTGCACAGGGTTTCCGAGGCTATAAATCTTTACGGGAGCAGAAAGCCTCATCTTTCTCCCGAGGAACGGCTGGTAGTTTCGAACTGCTGACCTTGCGGTTCACAGCCCGATTCGTAAGTGGGTTTGAGCAACCTAGTGCTTACCATACAGAGTGGCAACCAAACCCACTGCAGTCAAATCGATTCTGACTCACCTTGTCCCGAACTAGGATTTCCCAAGACTAAGGGTCGCTATGGGTCGGAACCGACTCGATGGCACTTAACAACAACAACAACAAAGTCTTTTAAGAAGCCTGTAGCCTTTTGGGGTTGGGGTTGGTTATCAGCCCACCGCCTAACCCACAGTGGGCCTTTGGTATAGGTACTGCTTTTCCAGACAGCCCGCAAAGATGTCAAGATTTTCCTTCCAAAGAAAACTTTTGACTTTACTCCAGATGGGCAAAGTCTGACCGTACTAAAGATTTAGCGGAAACTGGATTACTGGTTATTGTTGTTAGGCCCCACGGAGTCTGTTCCGACTCATAGAGACCCCTGTGAACCACAGAAGAAAACATTACCCAGTCATGCACCAGCCTTAAAATTGTAATGTTGTCGTTTTGTAGCAAAAGGAGGGGAGTGATTAACTTTTCAGTCTAGGAGAAGAGGTCCCGACTGGGACCATCAAGGGAGAAGAGCTGAGAGCGAGACCCTACCCAGAGAAGCAGTGACGCCAGAGATAGAGGCAGAGATGATGACATGGAGAGATGGAGCTGCTGGGGACTGTAGACCCAGATAGGGAGAGGGGCTGTGGGCTGACGACCGAGGGGCAGGCTTGCAGGACTTACCATTTGATTGTTTGATGATGCATGGAGGGGATTGTATTCATGGCAATGAAATTATATCTAATAGGATGGATGTAAGGCTAATGTTCTCCCATGTAAACTATCACATAAGTCACAATAAAAACTAAAAAAAAAAAAAAAAATTGTTATGTTGTTAGCTGCTGTTGTTGGTTCTCAGTCCAAAGAGCATCCTTTAGTATTTTTTGTAAAGGTGGCCTTGTTATTATAAATTCCTTTAATTTCTGTTTATCTGGAAATGTCCTGACTTCATAGTCATGTATTTGAGGGACTTCTTTACTGGGTGTATGATTCATGCTTGGCAATTTTTGCTTCAGAGTTTTTTATATGCCATTTCATTGTCTTCTCACCTGCGTGGTTCCTGATGAGAAATCGGAGCTTAGTCGTATTGTTGCTGGTGCTGCTGGGTAGGGTTTCCAAGGAGCGGCTGGTGTGTTTGAATCACCGACCTTGCAGTCTAATAACTTACTCCGTAGCACCACCCGGGAACTCTTTAGTCTTACTGGTTCTCTTTTATAGGTAACTTTTTGGGTTTCCCCGGTTGGCTCTTAGGATTTTTTTCTTGACTTTGGTTTTTGAAAATTGAAGAGGACTTGCTGATTTTCCTTTGGGATCTATCCTGTTTGGGGCTCATAAGTTTCTTGTATGCTTATCTTCTCGTCTTTCATGATGTTAGGGAAGTTTTCTTCCAACAACTCTTTGACAATGTTCTCTGTGTTTTTGTCTCTCTCTGTTCTGCAATTTTGATCACTCATAAGCTATTTCTCTTCATGCTGTTCCACATAACTCTTAGACTTTATTTTATTTTATTTTTTCATTCTTTTGACTGTTATTGTAGCATACTAATATCGAAGGCTTTATCTTCAAGCTCACTAATTCAGGTTTCCACTGCTTTGAATTTACACCTTTGCCCTGTCAATGTATTGTCCATTTCTGAAATATTAATATTTTGGATTTCTAACTGCAGGTTTTGTATTGTTTCAAATTTTGCATTTATTTCATCTGTTATTGTAATGTTTTCCTTAATTCTTCTAAAGTTGTTTTCTGTGTTCTTTTTGCTTTTCTTGATCTGTCATTCCTTTGTTGTTGTTGTGATATGGCGTGGAGTCAGTTCCAATTCATAGTAACCCTGTACAGGGTTTCCGGGGCTGGGAATCTTTAGGGAGCAGAAAGCCTCATCTTTCTCCTGAAGAGTAGCTGGTAGTTTCGAACTGCTGACCGTGCGGTTCGCAGCCCAATTCGTAACCACTACGCTACCAGAGCGCCTTTCATTCTTTTGTAGGGACCTAAATAGCTTTCTTTTGAATCCTTTTTAGTTAGATCCATTACCTTTTCTTCCTCAGAAACGTTTTTTTGGATCTGCATCTTGGTCATTTGTGCCATTCTCTCTTGTTTGTTTGTTTGTTTGTTTTGTGTGTGTGTGTGTGTGTGTGTGTGTGTGTGTGTGTGTGTGAGTTAGAATTGTCTGTTTTCTCTGGGACATTGTGGCGATTTTGTATTTGTATTTAACTGATGATTGTTTATTGATGTGTTCTTAGGCTCTCACCGTCTCTTGTGGGTGTAGTTAGAGAATGGAAGTGTATGCACCCTTCTCAGTTCACCATTCATGCACCTCTGCTTAGAGTGGGTCTGGCTGGTGTTGGCTGCTGTTTCTCATTGGTCAGGGGATATAGGAGCTGGTATTGGCATTTGCCCAATGGGTGTAGGTGCAGAGGGTATGGATGTGGCTGTGCTGTATGAACATGGTTGGGTGGGAAAGAGGAGAACACCCCCCACCCCTGCCCTTGTAACATACACACCAGGAAGCAAAACAGAATAAAAAAACCAAGCAACCAATAATGAAAAGAGAAAATAATAAAGGAGGGGAAAAAGAATTAAAAGCAGGGACTAGAAGAAAAGTATAAATAAGTAAAAAGAGAAAAGAGGCATAGGAAAGTGGATCTTTTGAGAAGAAAATAAAAGGAAGAAATAAAAACAAAAATTGCCATTAGAAAAACCAGGAGAGGAAAGATTTAAAGAGAAAGTAGAGTAATAAAGATTACAAGAGAAAAAGGAAGAAAAACAAAAGAGGGGAAATGAGAGACAGAAGAAAAGAGGGGAAAACAAAGCAGAGATAGAAAGGATAAAATTCAAGGAAATGGAAATAGAAGAAGGAGGAAAAAGAATAAACAAATAAAAACAATGAAACAACAAAAGGGGGGGGGGAACCCTCAAAACAAACAAACAAAAACAGTGTAGCTGTTGGACCCAGAGAAGAGAAATCTCGGACCCTAAACCTAACCCTAACCCTAACCCAGAGAAGAGAAATCTCTGAGGGTCTTCTTCAAGCCAAGGATCTCACAAGGTGGGTGTGGGAGGGAACAGCAGATGTAGCTCATGGAGGCCCTTGCTGGAGCTAGTTTCAGGGTCTTTTTAGGACCACATAGCAGCTGGGGGCAGGTTGACTGATAGGTCATAAGTTGAATCCACCTGACTCCAGGCACCAAAGCTTCATGGGAACACGACTCCCAACCACATGGCTCTGAGCCCTGGAGAGCAGATAAGGGTGGGAGCTGGCTACATGTCTGGCCACCAAGGGATTGTGGGGGAAAAGAAAGAATTGCACCTTTCCAGTTGTCCATACAAGGGTTAATGCTGGGGGTAGATGAGGGTGGGAGCTGGCTACACCAAGGGATTGTGGGGGAAAAGAAAGAATTGCACCTTTCCAGTTGCCTATACAAGGGTTAATGCTGGGGGTAGATGAGGGTGGGAGCTGGCTACACCAAGGGATTGTGGGGGAAAAGAAAGAATTGCACCTTTCCAGTTGTCCATAAAAGGGTTAATGCGCCAGCCTACAGAGCCATTAGAACTGCAAGGTCAGTAGTTCAAGCTCACCAGCTGCTCCTTGGAAACTCTATATAGGGTCGCTATGGGTTGGAATCAACTTGACGGCACTTAACAACAACAACATATGACTTTACCAGACCACGTTATGTTGCCAAAATTGCTCACAAAGGTTGACAATTCACCATTCACTAGCCAGTCTCCCTCTCTTGCCTTCCATATTCAGCTTTTCCTACCAGCAAGCACTCAGTCCACTTGTCTATCCTTTTTTCTGAAGTTCAGGGTTCCAGGATTTTCATCTGTGCCTGCTTGATTTGGTCTCTCATAACTTTGTTGTAGAGGAGCCATGCAGTGCCTCTGCCTAGTCCACCATCTTGCTGGAAATATTATTTCCTATCTTTTTAATAACTTTTGCTTTCTTCATATATAATATTCTTGATACCATCCCAGAATTCCTCTGATCTTTGGTCATTAGTGTCTAATGCATCATATGTATTATCGAGATGGTCTCTAAACTCAGAAGGGATATAGTCAAGATCACATTTTGGCCCTCATGAATTTGATTTAATTTTCTTTAGCTTCAACATGAGTAATTAATGGTCTCAGCTCCTAGCCTTGTTTTCACTGATGATACTGAGCCTCTCCACTGTCTTTTCTCACAGATATAAGCAATTGGATTCCTGTATTTTATGTTATCTTAAAAGATATTTGCAAAGAATAAGTCATTGGTCTTGCAAAACTCTATCATGCCATCTCCAGCATTGTTTCCATCACCACAAGCATATTTTCCAACTAATTTGCCATTCTCTATGTTTCCAACTTTTGCATTCGAATCACCAGTAATTACCAATGCATATTATTTGCATGTTTGATCAATTTCAGACTAAAGAAATGGGTAGAATTCTTCAATTTCATCATCACTGGCTTTAATGGTTCTGCATAAATTTGAATAATTGAGTTATTAACAGATATTCCTTGTAGGCATATGAATATTACCCTATCGTAGACCACATTGTACTTTAAGATAGATCTTGAAAAACTCTTTTGGACACTTCAATTTATCATTACTGGCATAAT